GCCGGCCCGGCGCGGCCCCTCTGCCCTTCAGTTTGCTTTCCCTGCGCTTTGGTGAAGCGCGGTGCGAGGCCTCGTCACCTCCAGGCCCCATTTCCTGACTCCAGACGGCCGGCGGGGGCGGGGGGGGGGCCCGGGCCGCCTTCCCGGAGCCGTCGCACCGAGCGCTGCAGAGCCGCGCGCTCAGGGGAGGCGATGACCGCCGCGAGACGCCGCTCTCCCCACCCCTTCCCGGACCGGGGGGTTCCCCTACTGGGTCCCGATCTCCGCCCGGCTCTTCCTCCTTCTCTTCCAGCCCAGTTCGTCGGGTGAACTTCACGTCCCCGACTGGTCGCCAACCACTCGTATTCGACTTCTGCTTCGACACCCCAGGGCGCGGCGCCGTCACACACGACACGTTCTTGCCAAATGGCGCGGGCTTGGGGTCCCGAGCCGGCGACGCGGGAGCGCCGCCCCCTCCCCAGCCCGGACGGCCGCCCTGCGGTGCCCCCTTGGGGACGGAGGGCGCGGGGCAAACGGGCGCCGCGGGTCCTGGGCTGCTCCCGCGACACCCGCGCACCCACGCGGCGCTTGGCCGGCTCAGGGACCGGCTGCGCCAGATCCCCCTGCCACGGTTCCCAAGCGCCTTTCTCGTGTCTCGCTTCACCGCGAACCGAAAACAACCTGGGATGGTTGGAAGCCCTATTAGGGGATCAGGCCACTGCCTTCCGGGCTGGCTGACTCCATCCTTCCGTAGAGACAGAGAAAACGGGAGCTCTAAACAGCTGCGTGAAGGGACCCCAGCTGCAGCAGAGGAATCCCGTTCAGGTTGTGCAATGCTGCGCACTTTTATTTTCCATCTGGGGGGACGTCTGTCGCTGTGAAAAGTTCCCACCGTCTTCCTGCAGCAGGGTCAGCGTGGTAGCCTCTTCTCCAAGCCGGCGGGTAAATAATGGTGTAGCGGTGTGGACTTCAGAGCAGCAAGGGAGTAGCAATCGTCTTTAATGGCAAGCCCTCAGTTTACAGATGAGGTGGAGAGAGGGTGAGCGCGTGAGCGCCTTGCCGAGCAGTGACTGGACTATTCTGACCGGGATTAATGCCGGCTCTGCGGCCCCACGTGCTGGAGCTGAGGTTGCTTCCTTCCACAGGTTCTGAAACATCCTAATCTGGAGGGAAATGAGGAAGATAACAAATGCCTGCATAATTTGGTTACCTGTATCGCGTAGGGCACCATGTTCCCATAGAGTTTTTTAAAAGACTCAGCCATGAAAAAGCATTATATATCAGGGTTTGTTTTTAATACTGGCCTGTGGGTGAAATTATTCCCCTCTGGCTGTAATCTCACATCAGCCCACCTGAATAGCGCTTTGGTCCAAAACTAACTAGTTAACTGACTAAGAGAGATTAGAAGGTTTCATTAACATGAGCTAAAGATTAAACTCGTACAGACAATATTTGGCTGAAAATAAATTTGAAAGCCCTCCTTCCATTATGCAAATCAGACTTCAATGAGATAGCATTTTCCACCTGATTCTCAAGGTTCAAAAATTATCTTAACTCACTTGGCCAGAATGTGGGGAACTAGGCACATTCAAGCTTTTTTGTGACACTGTAGCTTGGTACAGCTTATTGGAAGGGAATTTTTGTAAATCCTATCAAGTTTAAATGCATATACCTTTGACCAAGCAATTCCACTTCTAAGAATTTTCCTACTTCAAGACTTGCATGGGGGCGCCTGGGTGGCTCAGTCGTTGAGCCGCTGCCTTCGGCTCGGGTCGTGGTCCCGGGGTCCTGGGATCGAGCCCCGCATCAAGCCCTGCTTCGGGCTCCCTGCTCAGTGGGAAGCCTGCTTCTCCCTCTCCCACTCCCCCTGCTTGTGTTCCTTCTCCCGCTGTCTCTCTGTCAAATAAATAAATAAAATCTTTAAAAAAAAAAAAGACTTGCATGTGTGCACAAAAACATATACAAAAATCTTGTTGGGACCTTATTTATAGAAACTATCATCCATGATGTACAACAATAGCATGGACTACTGTGGAGCAGTTAAAATGAATGTACTAAAAAAAAAGTGAATGTACTGATGAGCAGGATTTCTAAAACATCTTGTTAAAGAAGTAAAAAGCCATTGGATTCTTTATGTTGCCACTTTGGCCAAAAAAAATGAGACAAGCGTAAAAGCTTATATAGGCAAATAAGTAAATAAAATAAGTCTCTGACATAAAAGCACAAAAAATAGCAACAAGATTGTAGAGAAGGGGATGGAATCAGGTGTGGAAGACACTTTTCACTCACATTGTATTGCACTGTTTGCACTTGATATGTGCATGTTTTACTTCTGGAAACTTTTAATGCAATTTACATAATTAATCCATAAACGTTTTAATCCATATTCATTTAAACTATTAACCCATGAAGTTTTAAGAACAAAAGGGAGGAGGGCTGTATTGGTAGGAAGATTTAAAAAAAAAAAAAAAGGTTTAGGTTTGTTTGTTTTTTTAATCTTCCTCTCTGCTTCCCCTGTACCTCTAGATCAGCCTTCAAATTCTCCTGTTCCTTCTCAGATCCTATCCTTTCTCATCCTTACAGCTAATTGCCCTGCCCACCCTGAGCCTCCTTGGCTCCCTGTACCTGGATTACAGTAACAGCCTATCAATTAGGTATTTACAGATGACTTTCCATATGGGTATCGCTGTCCCTATAGCTCCATTTGTGACAGGGGCAGAGTAAGCGAAGGTCCTAGACTACAAGGAGCTTAGTGTGGAACTATAACAGGGAGGGCTATATGTGCATGTGAATGGATGTATTTGCATGTTGGCGTGTTGGGGGGGCAAGGGACAGGAGGGGTGGTGAACTTGCAATAATACAAAATGAGTCTAGTACAGTACGGAGGGCCTGGAATGCCACGCTTCTTTTCTGTAGACTTCAGGAAGCTTCTGAAGGCTTTTAAGTGGGAATGACGTGAGCAATCTGTATTGTTGGGTTTTTTTCAATCATTATTTTCCCAATTTACATTGCACGTACTATCCCTTGGTACCTACCCCTTCCTAGTTTGGAGTATCCTAGCACCTCTGCTTCCAAGACTTTCTTTTAAAATACAGGTCAAGAGGCACCTGGGTGGCTCAGTCATTAAGCTTCTGCCTTCGGCTCAGGTCATGGTCCCAGGATCCTGGGATCGAGCCCCGCATAGGGCTCCCTGCTCCACGGGGAGCCTGCTTCTCCCTCTCCCTCTCCCCCTGCTTGTGTTCCCTCTCTCGCTGTGTCTCTCTGTCAAATAAAATCTTAAAAAAAAAAAAAATATGGGTCAAGGTCCAACCCAAAGAAGCCTTACTCCACACCTATCACCGCCCCCAGCAAGTCCACAGACCTTCAGCACTCTTGCCTACATTATCTCATGCAGTGTTGCTTAATTGCTCTTCCATCACAGAGGCATGAGCTGTCTTCTCTAATTTCGTCAAGTCCAAAAGGTCAGGGAAGAATGTTGTCAATTTCCCCCTACTTCAACTGCCAACAACCACCACACCCCCAACACACACATACACACACACACACACAAACACTCTCTCTCTCTCTCTCTCTCTACCCCCCATTCAGGTTTGGTAAAGAAGCAGCTCAGTAAGTGTTCATTACCTGACATTTAAAATGTAAACCTGTTACCCTTTAGGCTATCCACTACTCACTAAACTGACCTGGTCTCTTTCCATACTGACTCCTAATACCCAGCAAGAGATTAAGTTCCTGGCAGAGTCAGCTCCTCAGAACCATGGCGCATATTTCAGTCTGTGCTGAGCGACACTATGGCTCTTAATCTGTTTGGTCTGAAATCAAACAGCCAGGGTACCATTCTGTTAGTATGTCCTCAAGAAGTCGCAACGGTTGGTTAAGCGACTGACTGCCTTCGGCTCAGGTCACGATCCTGGAGTCTCGGGATCGAGTCCCACATCGGGCTCCCTGCTCAGCGGGGAGTCTGCTTCTCCCTCTGACGCTCCTCCCTCTCGTGCTTTCTATCTCTCATTCTCTCTCTCTCTCTCTCAAATAAATAAATAAAAAATAAAATCTTAAAAAAAAAAGTCGCAATGCGGGGATGTGGCCACATACTCCTACACGTTGCCCCCTGCTGGGGACCCTAGGTATTGGACAACCTGGGGACAAAATGAAGAGAGCCCTTGGACTTAGGGGAAACAAGGTAGCCGGTGAGGAAATAAATCACGGCGTTTCCCAGTAGATTGGCACATGCGCTGTCTACACTGCTGGGCATCAGGAGGTTACAGGTGAAGGACAATGAATGGCAGTTATCAGTTATTGACCCAAGCCTCTGAGAGGCCAAGCTTACCTGTCATAAAGTGTTTCTATGGGAACAACCTCAGGGGAGAGGAGTCCAGCGAGGCCGGAAGTTCAGATGTCCATTGCCTGGCCAAATCCTACTCATCTTTCAAGCTGCAGATCTAGAGCCTCCTTGGTCTCGTTTTCATTGATCAGCTCCCCTGACTCTTAGAGTCTTTCCACTCAGT